CCCTTCCCGCGGGTGGGCGCGGCCGCCGTTCAGGAAATACTTCTCTGGGTCCTCGCTCCGCAGCGCCAGAAAATTCCCGGCCTCTGCGACTTCTTCAATCCGGATCTCCCGGGCTCCCACAGGGATGATCCCAATATCGACGTAACCTGGGAATGGAACCGAGCATTGGTCTTGGGGGAGTCAAAGACGTGGCAGAGACAATCCATGCCCTCGGGTGGGTGCCAGCGTCCCTCGGGTGGGAGCTAGTGTCCTTGGGTGTCAGCATCACGCCAATCCTTACATCTCTGTAAGGCACCAGCGGGCACCAAACCCCACCTTGCACTGAGCCCAGCTGTGTTCCTCGCTGGGAGAGCTCCTCACGGAGCGAGACATTTCACACATGGGCGCTGGCAAGGCATTTACTGCACTTTCAACATGTCCTTGTCAACCCATAAAATCCCCTTAAACCTCTCCAAACTGGCTCCACCTTCCACAGATTTGTTTTCAGGCCTTTAGATACAAAATGCAGTAAGGGGAGATTTTTCTTACGAGGAGCAAGGAGTGGAATGGCCACGCCACGTCCCCCCATGCTGCTGCTCAGCTCTTATCTCATCCAAATTGACAGGTCCTGATTAAAAACCACACTGCAAATGAGCAGCAGTAGAGAGCCCGGCTCCGAATGGAACAGGCACCTGGAGTTTTGGGGATGGAGCCGAGCGCCCTTACCCAGTCCCTCGCTGTCCTCGAAGGTCTTCTTGACGGTGTGGCAGGTGGAGCCATCCCCGTGGCAGACGCCGCACCGGTCCTCCACCGCGTTGGAGTCGATCTCGTAGTCGCAGCCCACGTTCTGCAAGGCAGCCCCATCAGCCGTCGGCACCCCTGCACCCCCCCAGCCTCGCACTGTGCCATGGCCACCGACACGGAGGAACGAGGGAGAGGAGGACCAGCCTCGGTCCTAAATGGTGCAAAATAAGGAACACGGGCGGCAGAGAGAGGTGAGCTGGAGTCTTTTTGCAGGATGGGTGGTGATACAGCCACATCGGCTGCAGTAAGGGTTTCTCTAACATACCCTCGTGGTCCTGCTGTCCTGTCCATAGGCAGTGAGGATCACAACCCACATCTTGTTTTTACCTTTTCCTACCCAAGTCCCCGGGCAGCAGAGCCTGTCGGCACACATTACGTGCCGAGCTGAGCTGGGAAAGCCCCTTGATCCTTGGCCCTGATAGTCCTGTTTCAAAACACTTCCCAAAAACCATTTTTGTATTCTACTGAAACTCTCTACGCCTCATGCCAAATCTCTTGACCCGCGCAGAGCAAGAGCCTCCCTGTGATTTTGCCCCATGAAAGCCGCAGCCAAGACCCCAAAGGGTCCCGCTGGGTCTTGTGCCAGCGAGGAGCCTTCAGCCTTCGCTGCTCGGGGAGGTGCCCAGGCACCGCTGGCACAGACCGACAGCAGAAGCAGCACTGTTTAACTACTGCGATAGCCCGTACCGAGCCAAGTTTAACTCTGGAGTCACGGCCAGCAGCAGGTGCAGCGGTGACAAGGATTCCGTGTGCAGGGAGCTCTGGCTAAGCGTGCTGTCATCTGCTGCGAGCTGCTGCATCACACCCTGTCATATGCACCAAGGAAAAATCACGACCCCGGCACTCTCCCCGCAGCCTGTGCCGGTGCATCGGCGTGCCGCAGCCTGTGAAGTAACTGCCAGTCTGTTACAGGAGGGAATAGGACCTTCCCAAAGCCTCCAGTTGCCGTCAGACCCCTGCCCACTGCTGCCGGCAGCACGGCCAGTGAGAGGGGGAAGTTTTCACAAATGGTTTTTACGTAAGAGGCTGTAAGGAAACTTGTTGACTGATTATTTTCCCTCTTTCCTGCTGCTCTTTGTGCCATCCAAAAAGACTTTTTTCCAAAAAGCCTTTCCGAGAGTATCTTTATCTAACACTACAGCAGATCTGACCGTGTCCCCTCCGAGTGTGCGAGTCCCTGGCGACACGTGGCTGTGAGCTTTGCAGCAGCATGGCTTCGGTACGTCCTGTGGTGGGAATCTGCCCTCCAGACCACAGTACTATGGCAGCTCAGATCGCCACCCTTTCCCTAATTTAACAGAAATTCAATGTCCTACATGTGCGCTTATTCCTAAATCTCCGCACTACTTCCCTAGGGAAAGGGAAGGCGTGAACGAAGGGACCACCTTACTACGACCGAAGGCAGCTGGAGGACCCAGCGCACAGCTCAGCAAAGCCCCCCTCAGCCATGCCAGCCTCTCCCAGATGATTCACAGCACTGACCGTGCCATCTCCACCAGATTCCTGTGCCTCCCAAGCTGGGAGATACCCTCCCTGGTTGGCAGCCAGAGCCTCACATAGCAGCTCGTTTGTAGGGAGCTTCCAAGAAAAATAACATCCCAGATGGAAGGACAAACCCCAATGCTGCCAAGCCGGGAGAGGCATCTCCATCACTGCAGGTCAGATCCGTGGCTGCCAGCACTGGCCGCACTTGGGGTGCAGGGTTGGGCCGGGCATCCTCTCTACGCACCCTTTCATATCCCCAACCTTATTTTCAAGTGAAATTTTTCTTCCTTTATTTCCTTGGCTTTGTGCTGTATTTCCTTGAGGCCAGCACAGAGGCTGAAATATGTCCGTAGCACACACCTCATGGAAATAAGGAAAGCTTTCCGGGTGGTGAATGACAAAACGAGTAAGCTCAGCCCATTGGTGCATGTGAGAGGGGATGGTGTTCACCTAAGGGATGGGTCACGGTGCCCACCTGTATTCCTCTGAGCACGGGGGGTCCTTGGGCTCCCTCCCAGAGCACCCCGGCACAGGACCCACCTTGCAGATGCCGTTGATGCACATGTCGCGGCTGGCGTTCATCTCGTAGCAGGGCGTCCCGTCGATGACAGCGTCCCGCAGCTTTTCCGCAAAGTATTCGTCCTCCGGCCGGCAGTGCAGCTCGCAGGGGTTAACTGGGGAACCCAACAGGCAGAAACTAGACCCCAGCAGCTGGGGGCCACGTAACCATCTCCGAAAATATAAATTAACCCTGCAGCCCCAGCCATAATTTAAAATACGGCATAAACACGCTGCAAGGTAAATCTTAGACATGAACAGCAAAATCAAGCCGTTAGCAAGACTGCGTTTCAGGCGTTTCATTGGGGCTGCAGGCAGAGACCTGGCAGCGGGCTTTGCCCTCGACTCACTGTTGTTGGGCACCGGTGTCCACCGGTAGAGTTTCCCTTTGTAGAGCATGGGGTTGAACTGGCTGCACTGGACCTGGCGGAAGGAGGGCTTGTCGGGGGGACACAGCCGGACATTGCAAATCCGGAACCGCTTCCGCTCCCCCAGGCAGTACCTGCCCCCGTACTTCGGCCTGTCCGCGGGAGGGAAAAGGGAAAATCAGGAATCACAGAAGAGTTTGGGTCAGAAGAGACCTTAAAGACCATCCAGTTCCAACCCCGCCGCCCTGGGCAGGGACACCTTCCACCAGACCACGTTGCTCCAAGCCCCATCCAACCTGGCCTTGAACACTTCCAGGGATGGGGCATCCACAGCTTCTCTGGGCAACCTCTGCCACTGCCTCACCACCCTCATTGTAAAAAAATTTCTTCCTTATATCTAATCTAAACCTTCCCTCTTCCAGTTTAAAGCCGTTACCCCCATCTTATCAAAGAAAGACCTACCACACACAAGGGGAAACTCCCTTTTTATTCACAGCTAAGGGAGGGTGGGTTTGTACCCGCTGCTCAGGTTTGATCTTATGAGGTTGGGTTAAGCCTGAATCCACCTGGAGTCAACACGGAGCTCTCCTAGCTATAACCCACACACAGCTCTGCTGCAATATTCCTGTGAGGAAGCTGGCTATGAAGCCAACATCCACCCCAGAAGGATCCCCACTCCACACAGCAAGCTTTTGAAACGCGTGGAAATCATGGCCCACGTCCTCCTTCTCCAAGTCCCTCCTGGACCAGCTCCCTGCTGCTGCTGGGCTGCGCTATGGGACCGCGCAGGGCGAGACTGTGGACCAAAGGCAGCTTTTGCTGAGTGACAGCTCTCAAGCCAGATCAACTACATCTTGGGTCTTGTCCCCCTTGACAGTCTCTCCTCAACGTTGGAAATACGGCCAATTTTATAGGTCTGGTGTATGATGCTATGAAAGCAGTTATTGAAGCCAGGTGTCACCAGCGGCATTCACATCTGAAGCCCCCCCATCTCCCGCAGCGGCAGCCAGGCACCCTTCCCTGGGGGGTAGAACATCTCCTTCACCATCCCAGGTAGCGTGGCTGAGGAGATGCCAGCACTGCCAGGAGCCAGCTCAGCCAGGTGCCCGTTCTGCGCCTGCTCCGGAGGAGCCGCTCTCCGTCCCGCCTGGGATGCGCTTCCACCTCTGCTCCTCAACTGCCCAAGGGAATGGTCAAGCTGACGCTGGACTGTTTAAAGCAAGAGGGACTTTAAAAGCAACAATAGGTTTTTCTCAGATGCCAACAGACTCTCAAAACACCGCTACTGTCTCCTGACGCTTGCCTTTTCTTTCGGTCACAGCACTCTCCGTGGTCCACGTCCCCAGAACCTCAAGAAAATTACTTTTCCCCTGATCAGTTAAGTCTGAGCACACTTTGCTGAAGAGAATAAAGTTCATTATTATTTTAGGGTTGTGTTTATATACCCTGCCCCGAGGAAACGCCTGCGGGAGGAGGACTGCCCAGTGCATGCATTTGTTCACTCCATCCAAAAGGCAAAGCTGAAGATTTACCTACGGTGGTCAAAGCAAACAACTGCCCGGGGAAATTCTACTGCTTTTCCCGTGTTTGCTCTCCTGCCTGCCTGCAGCTGTGTTTAAAACACTCCATAAACTACAACTGCACTTCTGCCACACAACTCCAGTCAAACACAAACCCAGCTCTTGACCTGGCACCGAGACTACACAGCGCTTCTTTAAACAGCTCAGCAGCACGTGCTAAAAACAACGCGCCCAAGGAAGAAGTTGGGCAGAAAAAACGCATCTGGGCTTATCCAAGAGCCTGCGCCTGTAGCTCTCGGAGCTCCTCAAGCCATTGAAAAGTGACTGCCGCTGGAACATCGCTCACAAAACCCTTTTCTCTCCCCATCCCAGGGTGCTCCGACACCCGGGCAAGCCGGGGGCTTTGGCTGAATCTAATACACCAGTGATCGGGTGATGAAGGGCACGTTTGGGGAGCAGCTGGGTCAGCCCAGAAATCACACGGTGGACAAGGCTGCTCCTCCATCAGCACCTGGACGCGAGAGCCAGCGCTGCCTGCGGTACCGGCAGCCTGGAGGGAAGCAGCCTCCGGCCCGGCACAGATCAAAAATTGCTCATGGCATGCAATGGGGTGATAAACAGCAGCAAGATTTTTCAAAATTACTCTGATTCAGGCTCAAAGAATGCCTGTTTCTCTTTTCTATCATTAAAGGACGCTGGATATGCTTTACATCTACGAGTGTGGAGTCTTTGCGCTTTGTTTTAGTCATATTGCAACTATGCTCTGCCTGCACAGAGTGGGAGCGACCCATCCGTGGAAGGTGACAGAGCAAACTCTGCCCCTCCAGAGGCTTTTGCTGCCGGTTGGATAACCCTGTGAAATGAATCCCCCCGAGTGTTTCAAAAGCACATTGTTCAGACTGATAACTGCGTAACGGCACGGTTTTGCTGTGCGATGCAGACAGGGCTAGGACCGCACTGGCCAGATGACGATCCCTGGCTTTATGGGGTGATAAGGAAGCATTGGGTTCCTCTCCTAAATGGGGTCCGGAGGAGGTCCGGGGGAGCAAGCGCTCGCTTACGTGGGGCTGCTGCACTGCCTCTCGGCGCTCTGCACACCCGCGCCGCAGCTGCGGGAGCAGG